CTTGCATTTATTGTTGTTTTCCCTATATAAACCACCTAGAACTCTTTTGTAATCAGATTTGAACATTTGAATGAAGTAATTTCGAGCTTGCCTCACCCTTCAAGTTCAACCGCTTTCTCGTCTTGGCAAATCGACTAGTAAAATATATGCAACTTCATCTATAGCGTGGCCACGCATTTTCATAGTCCGACTTCCACGAGAGGGCCCAGCGATATCTCTCCTATTGAGGAGGTGATAAGTCCCATATTGCATGTCTATTATCTCCATATGATTCTTGAACGTATCTGATCAACGCCGTTATGATCATCCGGTTAAAGACGACGTTTGACGCAGTCAAGACACGCCACTCCTCATATCAGACACTCTAGACATCTCAGGTCTGAGGATCCAAGAACGAACCGTTGTATGAGATTCAAGTCATGACTCTGTCCATGTGACAATCTCATGCGGGTCAACCAGTCACTCGTTCACAACAAGTACCCATGATTGTGATATGCATCCAATGCATCGATCACACCTCATGCTAGTCTTAATTCATTATTGTTCCCACAATGATATCTGACCAGGGTGTTTAGAATCATTCTGTAATGATTCAAGGATACCGAAATATAACAAACATGCCAATCATATAACGGGAATGTAATGCATTCATAAATCAATGAATCAATACAAAGTCAAAATGTCATATCACGGATCATCCTAGAGCATTACAACCAACAATACCAACTCCGTCACTTTCGTTGCGATCGATCATTGAGCGTGAAAAACTCAATGGGGCGAACTTCCTTGACTCGTGCCGCTACTTGAGAATAGTTCTCCGAAGCGAAGAAAAGGAGTACGTCCTCGACAAACCGTTCGTCGATGAGGAGCCACCGAACAATGCATTGGGCTGTCAAGGATGCTTACTTGAAGTATAAGAAAGACAACCGTGATGTGAACTGCCTTATGCGTGGAACAATGACTCCCGACTTGATCAAACAGTTTGATGGTCTGGGTGCTTGGTTGATGATGGATCAACTTAAGCTCATGTTCGAAGAGAAAGCCCGCTCAGAGAGGTTCAAGGTTATGTGTAGTCTTTTGGACTGTAAACTGGCTAACGGGTGTCCTGTCGCTCCACATGTGCTCAAAATGAAGAGTCATTTTGATGATCTGGAATGACTTGGCGCTAAGATGCACAAGGAGCTTGCGGTGGACATGGTCCTCCATTCACTTCCTGATAGTTTTCGACATTTTGTCTTAAACTATGATATGAATGGTATGGACAAAAGCTTAACCGAGCTGCATGGGATGCTAGTGTTGGCTGAGCAGAAGATTAAGACTGAAAAGAGCATCCTTGCCATGCAAACTGAAAGAGTTCCAGTAAGCGACCACGAGGAAAGGGAAAGGGCAAGGAATCGGCAAAGAAGGAAAAAGTTGCCGTGTTGCCGAAGTCCAAACCCGACTAGGGAGAATGCCACTACTGCCACGAGGTTGGACACTGGCGTAGGAACTGAAATCTCTACTTGGAGGATCTGAAGAAGAAGAGGCTTGCTGAAGCTTCATCTTCAGGTATCAACGTTATAGAAGTTAACGTTTTGTATTGGGTATTGGATACCGGATGTGCCTCACACATTTGTGGAAATGTGCAAGGTCTGCGAAGAAGTAGAACATTAGCGAGAGGTGAAGTGAATCTGCGCATCGGAAATGGAGCAAAGGTTGCTGCATTGTGTGTTGGCGACTATGATTTACTTTTACCGTCTGGACATGTTTTAGAATTGCGTAATTGTTACTTTGTACCTTCTATAAACAGGAACATCATTTCTATTTCTTGTCTTGACTTGGATGGTTTTGAGTTTTTGATTAAGAATAAGATTCTTTCGATATATAAAGACAACGTTTTATATGGTACTGGTTACTTATTTTACGGTCTTTATGTGTTGAGCAATGAACCATCTAATCTTATCTATAACATCGATACGAGGGGTTACAAGGAGAACTACTTGAACTCAACCTACCTTTGGCATTGTCGTCTTGGCCATATAAGCGAGAAACGCATCGTCAAACTCCACTCAGATGGTGTTCTGGATCCATTTGATTATGAATCAATGGAAGCATGTGAATCTTGTTTATTAGGCAAGATGACAAAGAGTCCTTTTACCGGAAAGGAACAACGTGCGGATGAGCTCCTTAGTCTGATACATAGTGATGTATGCGGACCAATGAACATGTCCGCCAGAGGAGGTTATTCTTACTTCGTTACCTTTACCGACGATTACAATCGTTATGGTTATGTCTACTTGATGAAGCATAAATCTGAAACGTTTGAATTGTTCAAGACGTTCAGAAATGAAGTAGAGAATCAACTTGGCAAGAGTATTAAGACAATCCGATCTGATCGTGGTGGTGAATACATGAGCCAAGAGTTCACTGACTA